TTTTTTTTGTTTTTTGTTTTTTTGTTTTGTTTTGTTTTTTTGAGACAGGGTTTCTCTGCGGCTTTGGAGCCTGTCCTGGAACTAGCTCTGTAGACCAGGCTGGTCTCGAACTCACAGAGATCCGCCTGCCTCTGCCTCCCAAGTGCTGGGATTAAAGGCGTGCGCCACCAACCCCCGGCTCCACGCCTGTTTCAAAACAAACAAGGCATAGATAGCATCAGAGACTTTACCCAAAGTCCAGATCTCACTGCTGGGAAAAGCTTCATAATCCTTCATCCTTTACAATTTTTTTCTTTTTATTAAACCTTTACAATTATTTTTCTATAAATACTTGAAAGAGCTGGGGAGTGGTGGTGCACACTTTTAATCCTAGCACCTGGGAGTCAGAAGCAGACGAATCTCCAAGTTTGAGGTCAGCCTGGTCTAACATAGTGGATTTCAGGACTACAGAGAAACCCTGTCTCAAAAAACGAAACAAATATTTAATAAAATTACAGACTGGCCTGCCCCTTTCTGAGTAGAGACAGAGGAGGACTGGATGGGGAGGGGGTAGATGGGAGTGGTGGGGGCAGGAAACAGGAGGAGAGGAAGGAGGATAAACTGGCTGTTACGTAAAATAAGTGGAAAAAGTTAAATAAATAATAAAAGAATGGATTAAAATTTCCTTTCTCTTTTCAGTTAGACAGAGATGTCCTCAAGCAGAGAAAGGTCTTTGAAGCCAGCCAGCCAAAGGCTGAGAGAGCCAAGACCCAGACCCTGAGTTACAGTGGGAAACTAAGCCAGAAGAGACTGCAAATCCCTCCTGGAAATACGTGGGTCTCCTGGGGGATAAAGAAAAAAAAAAATGCATCAGGATAAGAAAGAAAAACTCTCTTCAGGTTCCACAGAGAGAGAGTGTGTGGCCTCTTAGAAGAACATGTCTGAAAATGAAACATATCAATCATAAGGCAACCCAGAGCCATTATTCCAGAACTATCAACAGTCTGTCAAGATTTCCTTTTCAGACTTTGATAACAAGAAACGGTAGGCTGTATTAATCCATTCTGTCTTTACATTCCACCTGCGTGTGTGCTTCTGTGCACCTGTGGTACCTGTGGAGGCCAGGAAAGGGCATTCCATCCCTTGCAGCTGGAAGTTGCATGCGCTTAATGTTATGCCCAAATCTGCGAAGTCCCCGCAAAAACCAACAAGGAAACCGAGTCCCATATGTAAAAGCAAAGAGCCTTTATTTTAATCAAGTTTGCAAACTCGGTCTCTCCACACGTCCAACATATTGGAATAACCGGAGAGCCGCCCGGAGCTCAATTAGAATAGGGTTTTATAGTAGTAAAAGTCAGGGTGAGGGGACTCTGAGGTTTAAGACCCCTGATTGGCTGACATTTGTCTAGGGTGTCCTGGTTACTGCGCCCTGGCAGGTGTTCCTATCTACAGCGGTTGGAAGGCCAGGCATTTCTTTTGAATGGTCAGTTCTTGGGTAGGGGTCAGGTAACTCAGCTTGTGGTTCCTCCTGCAACCAGACATTGCCTCAGGGTAAACTACTGAGACTCTGGCCTCCATTTAAATTTATCAATGGCCAGAGTCCCAGATGATAATAGTTGGAAGTAAAAAAAACTTCCTTTGGGTAACCTGCCCATACTTAGCTTACCACGGCTGGCCCCCACACTTACAACTCTCTCTTCCCCTCCCACATGGTGATGGGAACTGAACTCAAGTCCTCCGCACGAGAAGAAAGCTCTTAATGCTGAGGCATCTCTTAGCCTCTGTATATTGGAAAGGAAGGGGAAACGGCACCAGTGAGTTCTAAGTAAGTCTAGAAAGGACCAAAATCAGCACAGGACA